TTAAAGTCTATTCAAAAAACACGCAGTACACCTTTCACGAGAAATGTTTTTCTAATTTTCTCTCGCTACAAATGCATTGATATCAATTCATTTGTAGCTTCATCTTCAAATCACGGTCTACAAAATAATGCTAGTAAACCGAATATTTTAGTCTTTGGCTCAAAAAAAAATAGAAATATTGTAAAAAATCGTGTGGAAATTAAAATTGGACAAAATATACTCGAAGTGGTTGATTGTGCTAAAAATCTAGGAGTCACTGTGGATGAGAATCTTCGTTTTGAAAAACATGTGAATGAAGTAATTCGCAGAGCATATGGACATTTGAAATTGATATACAGTAGTAGACAATGTTTATCAAGAAAAATCAAATCAATACATAGCGAGAGCTTAGTTTTATCTAATTTTAATTTCGCAGATTGTCTGTATGGTCCAAATTTCACAGTTTTTTTATAAAAATACAAAAAATACAAAATTCTTGCTTAAGATTGATTTTCGGTATTCGTAAATATGAAAGCATTACCCATACTTTGAAATATATAAACTGGTTGAATATGGATAATCGGATGTTGCTCCACTCTGCAAGCTTATATCATAGTATAATTAAAACTAAAACACCAGAATATCTATATAATAAAATCAAATTCCGAACTGACGTACATACATTGAACTTGAGGTTTAAAGGGCTTTTAACACCCCTCCTATTTCCATTCTGAAGTGTAATAAATCTAGAGTTTTATTTGCTGGCCGTTCAAGCAGCTGAGAATCTTTTCTGTACTCTGTCCATGAATTTATGAGTGATATATCTACAGCATGAAATATCATCCTCAGTGTCCATTTCTTGGACCTTATTTTTGTTCTATATAATGATATGAGTGCGTCAGCTTTGTCGACGCCACCCATAGNAATACTGGGTAGTATTATTGTGAAATAAGCGTGGGCGCTTTGTGCCATATTTTTTGTATATCAAGCGCCCGTCGCTTTTTTCACAATAATATTAGTATTTTTCGTTCGTTATTGTTTCAAGCTTATTTCTACGAAAGCGTGTTTTTTTAGTTTTTCAAACTATATTTATTTTTTTATTACACGTTTAACTACAACAGTCCAAGTGAGGAAGCTACTGTTGTAGTGTTGTAGATATTGAAAAAAAAATTATTTGTTGTGAAAATTTGTAATCATTGTAATGAATGACGTTATTGATTTTCAACAATTAACGAGTCCGTGAATTAGAAAAAAAAATTACATTGAAAAACAGCCTTTCAACTGGAATGTTCAGTACTCTGGTTACATCCAGCTTATCAATTGAGAATTTTTCTTCATATAATCAAAAACATTGAGCTCTTTACCATTTGTTGTTACATAAAACTAACAAAAATATCAAAAAAATTGTATATTCGCTAATATGTCAACTTTTCCTGAATATTATGGCAGTTTCGAATTGTTACTCCCCGGAATTTACCCAAATTATTCCTAAATTCACTAATATACCGAAACTTTGTGACAAAATAAAAAACTGCGTAGTTTTTGTGACGATATTTCAAAGATTCGGGGACCCACTTCTTCTCTAGAAAAAGGCAGAGTTTTTTTAACATTTTTTGGTATTTCTCGTTTCCAAATTATGAAAAAGTTGGATTTTGAATTCTGGATTTACAATTTCTTTGAAGTAATTGATAATTATAAATGAAAGTTATTTCAAGACTTTTATCACTCGTAATAACATGAATCGTCAGATATTTCTGATAATATACCAATTCTTTTATCAATAAAGTTAGTTTGTTATTTCGGTTTTGTAGATACCTCGCGGACAGCAAAATGAATAGAATATTAATCATCAGAACCAACTTTTTGATGCAATAAATAACAAAAATATTTACCTTTCCTCCGCTGTCAAATTTGCGAGCTCCGGTATCCAACACCAATGATTAGGAACAATTGTCATGAAAATCTGCGAAAAGTAAACAAACGCCACAGAAAATGCGAAAGGAATCATCATCAAAAACAGGATTTTTTGATACATTCCGAACTCGCCTACGTGTGGCAACAAATCGTCGAATTCAAAGGGTTCTTCGTTTTTCTCGTTTTGTGCAACCTCTTTTTCCTTTTCATTATCACTCTTATCACCGACGAAGGCTTCGTTAACGAATCCATTCTTGTTTTGACCCAACTCCAGTTCCAAGGATTTTGAGTCCGATGAAGAAATTTCTAAAACTTTTTCCTGGTGAGGTGTCATTTTTTAAAAAGGAAAATCGCGGATTTTAACACATAAACAACAAAGAAACGCGAACCGTTCGATCAGGCTAACCCCGCGAGGTAAATCCTAATCACCAATGATTTAGACTGAAACATAAGTCAACGATTTATCCGTTTTTATATAAAGTGTTAAGGCCAAGTCTATGCCTTCGGCATGGATAATGGAATTCCCTCCAAAGCATGCAGACGTCGCGTTCTAGCAATTGGTTGCTCGATTCGTGGTTTTACTTCCTTTGAAGACGGCGAAGGTGATACACATCGAACCGCAGAGTTTAATATTATCCATAGTCGTTATATAATGGTGTTTATGTTATCACAATACTACACAGCAGTTTTACTGTACTGCATTGTACTATAAGGAAGAAAATATTTAGGATAAAGGTGGGTAGGATGACGAACGTAAAAATTTTAAGTTTTCCACTTAGACTTTCTCATTAGTCAGTGGGCTACGCTTGAAGACTGGCAGTAAACAAATCTAAAGAAATGAACTGTTAATGTTCAACCCAGTCTCAGATATACAGTGTGACCCATTTTTAATGGAAACACCCCCTTAAAATTTGAAGTTGTAAATCGATTTTAATAATTTTTTTTAATGTCAAGTACTAAAAGGTCTACCTTGGGACAAAATTTGAAATATTTATTAAAGTTTCAGGGCATACTTCGATATTTTTTCTTAGTCGAAAATCGGATTTTTTTATTAGCGATTTTTTTATTGAAAAAATCACTACGCCACTGGATTCACAGTGC